ATTTAAAAGGAGGAAAACAGAGTTGTTGTTTAAATTACCATGACTCTTCTGTGTTTATCCTAGACTAATTTCTAGAATTTATCCTTGACAGAAGGAAAAAAAGCCCACATCTTATGGTTATCGATAAAGGTGCCTTGGCTTGAGCAATAACATCCTAGTGAAAATCTTACATTGTTTTCAAGTAGCCTTTATCTTCAATCCATGATGGGGAAAATCTTTCTTGCTATAAAAGCATGTACTGTTTAGGTATTGTGAAATATCCCAGCTGCCTTGGCTTCCCTCAAGGAAGAGAGAACAGAGATGTGTGTGTACCTACAGGTGTTTTTCCCCTCATCTTTGCAGAATTACTGCTATTTCTTCTCCTTGCCCTAACTTGTGAGGTGGGTTTAAAGGACCATTGCTAAATGCTTTCTTAAAACAGAAAATCCAAGCCCAAAATAAGGGATTATTTTCTTCATTTGAAAATTTAGCTGTTCAGAGGTAACTCTTATCCACTACTGAAATTGTGTGCAACTGAGCTAAAATCAGGTGCTGTATCAAACGCACCTCAGCTGCTCTTCCAAATACAGCACAGAATGGACTCAGTTACCTCCTCATGGTGTCAGGAACAGAATTTGAGCTCTTAAATAGTTTTCTCCTCTGCCTTCAACAGAACAACAAGCAAGTTGACACCTTCGAGTGCCACGGCCCTAGGGCAGTGAGCTGCCTGGCCACGGCGCAGGAGGGAGCGCGCAAGCTGCTGGTGGTGGGCTCCTACGACTGCACCATCAGCGTGCGCGACGCGCGCAACGGGCTGCTGCTCCGCACGCTCGAGGGCCACAGCAAGACCATACTCTGCATGAAGGCAAGTCCCCGTGGAAATACTGCTTTGACAATGCTTAAAACAGTGGGATATTTCTCGTTCGTTCTTCCTCAGCAAATATTCTGCAAGTTGTCATAGGGACTGGGTGGCCTCACCGTTTTAAATTACAAAAACTGAATAGTTTGGTGGGAAAGTTGTCTGTCTTGCTGCCCTGTCTGATGTTCCCATCAAAACTGCTGCTGTTGCTGTACCTAGGAAACACGTTTATTTTGGGTTGTTGGAAGCTGCAGGGAGTCATGGAAAAAGTTTGCTGAAATAGGAGGTTGAAAGGAGGAGTTGGGGGAAGAAGTGGAAAAGTTGGTTTTCACATGCCCTCAGTATACAAGCCTCTGGAAACTGAAAAAATGTAACTCACTGCTATTCTGCAGTGCTCAACTCATTTTCTTGGCCATTAGAGAAATTAAACTTTTTTTTTTCCCTTTTCTTTTGATAAGGTTGTGAATGACCTGGTATTCAGTGGCTCCAGCGATCAATCTGTCCATGCTCACAACATTCACGTAAGTAGTATATAAAGTTAAAGCAGCTTTTGTTGTTAAGGCAGTGAAATCCTGTGCTATAAAGTCAGTATTTCCAAAATTCCCGGCTGACTGTTGGAGCAGACAAGCTTCCAAAAAGGGAAGCAATGAGGCTTTTTTAATGTGCCTATGCACTGCAGCTAACTAAGGAAGGGCACAGAGGGTAAAATCCTTTTGTCTTCTGCTTTGTCCTGGCACAGACAGGAGAGCTGGTGCGCATCTATAAAGGCCATAACCACGCGGTAACAGTTGTGAACATTCTGGGGAAGGTGATGGTCACCGCTTGCCTGGATAAATTTGTTCGTGTTTATGAACTACAGGTAAGAAAATAGTTATCAGTGAAATTTACCTGGTTTGTGCTAGTGCAATTAATGGTTCTCCAGAGTCAGCCTTATTGGTCCCTGGCCCGTGCCTCTCTTTCCTCTCACTCAGAATATACCGTCATCTTCACAGCCAATAAACGTGGCTTTTAAAGAAAATTACCTTAACATTTTGTAGAACCAGAGTCATCCAAGAACCAGGTTTTCTGAGGATAATGAGTACACAGAAGAGTGGGGATATGTCAGTGTCCTTTGCTTGAAATGCCAAGAGTTTAGTTAGGCAACAAAAGGCTCATGAATAGTGCAAGCAAAGCAGCAAGCATTCCTGATGGCTATGAACTTGGGAATCAGCTGGGGAGAGGGGTGGATGCCAAATATTTAGGCAACCGCACTATACTAGCTACACTAAACTACACTAGGTAACTACACTAAATATCTATAAAATATAGTGCTATTAAATGTCTGTTTCTTTTCAAGTCACACGACCGCTTGCAAGTCTACGGAGGCCACACGGACATGATCATGTGCATGACCATCCATAAGAGCATGGTAACTTCTTTTTGTTAGTCTCATATAGAAAGTGGTATTGCATATGCTTGTGGAAATTGCAGTTTTGTTTTCATTCAAGATACTAAATCAACCTGCTCTCTGACTCTGGTAAACAGAAAAACTTAGAACTATGTCAGTCACAAATGCAGCTTGCTATAGTAGCTTTGTATTTAGATAATACTATTGTCTAGGGCAAAACAGTTCTAACTTGTAATCTTAGAACTGTAGTTCTCTTTACAGTGATGATTGTCCTGAAGAGTCTAGAGATACTAAAATATTTCCTCTTTTCAAGTGTTTCAGTCCGTTTAACTTTTACTAAAGTTAGCTACACAGATGCCAGAAAAAAAAAAACCATCACCCCCAGAAGCTAGGCAAAGGTATGCAATTGATTCAGGAGCACAGACTGCTTCATGCAGCAGCAAGATAAGGTTCCTGGGTGTTTACTTGCTGCTTTTCTTTTACAGATCTATACTGGATGCTACGATGGTAGTGTCAGAGCTGTGAGGCTTAATCTGATGCAGAATTATCGTTGCTGGGTAATGAGCAAAGTGTTTATAATCTTTCTTTGCCCTAGTTCTCAGACTAATCTCCCGATGGTGGGTGGTCGCAGTTTAGTCTTGAATGTTTCAACATTTGTTATACTTCAGTAATCTTTTTAAAATAACTGAAAATAAGCAAGTACTTGTGTCTCTGAGTCTTTTAGTATGTGTTTGTACTTTGGGTAAGGCGATAATAGCATCTTAATTTTTTTCTTTCAAGAGTTTTATACAGTGGCCTATAACATTTTAGACCGCAAAACTCCAGCTACATTGCACAGAATACTGATTTACTGTGCTAAGTAAGTTTAATTTAACTCTTAATCAGTTCATCTAAGATAAGCTTAAATTCTGTAAAGGTTTAGTTGATCTCTTCCTACTTTTTTTTTCGGTGGTCTAGGCTGGGCAAGAGTCAGGAAAGAAATCTCTGTAAAGCTGTAACTAAAGTACTAGTGACCACAAAGAATGAAGATTAAATAAGATGGCTTAAAACTCTGTAGGAGGAATGTGTCTGTGAACAGTCTTGGTAGAATATTGTTGAGCTGAAAAAAAAGAAAAAGAATTAGCCAAAGTTCTTTCACTCTGCCTTATGCTGACATGATTTTTTTTTTTCTCCAGTGGCATGGATGTTCGCTGATTTTCGGAGTTGTGGACCATCTGAAACAACACCTGCTAACTGACCACACCAATCCAAATTTTCAGACCCTAAAGTGTCGTTGGAAGAACTGTGATGCCTTCTTTACTTCTAGGAAAGGTTCCAAGCAGGTATGTGGTAGAAGGAAATGTGGTTGTGTTTAGTAGTATAATAGAAAGGTTAAAATACCCAGATATAAAGAATATGCCACCATCACAATTGTAGGACATGCTCCTTAAGATGGCTAAATTTTTCTAGTCTGAACAGGCTTAACTGAATTATAGTTAGGGTCAGGAAGAGCTCGTAGATGTCTGTGTGTGGTGGATGAAGAGTCCAGCTACGTGTGATGGCTGGAGATGTGATCATTTTGAAACAGTATGATCTTAAAAGCTGATATGGAAATCATTAATGTTTTGAAATGTTAGAAGAAGCTCTGGTAACTATATTAGAATTTTAAGTAGAATTTTATTTATAGGATGGACAGGCATTAATTTGACTTTTTTATACTCTTAATTTACTGTTCACATCTGCCTCCCATTTTTGTAGATGCTGGAGGCTGCTTGTTCTGCACATTGAGTGGGTTTGCTTTAAAAAAAAAAAAAAAAAAGGCCTTAAACGTAGCCTATAAATTTCTGAGTAAATGTGAGTAAATGAGATGAAAAAAGAAAATTGAAGAATTGACGGGTGGTTCCTGTCTATACACTAACCAGTAAAATCCATGTTACCCCTTGGCAATATAAAATTGCCTTCTTGAATGTTGATCGTAATTTCTCTGAGAACTGAAAAGCAGAAGTAGATCCTTCCTTCTAGGCACTGGATATAAAGTAATTTATCTGATACAACCCCCTACTTACAAAGGGAGCTGTTTCTTATTTGCCTTGGATTATGTTGTATGTGAGATGCCTTATGTATATGATTTAATAGCTTGGCATGAGTTTTTAGAAGTGCTAAGCCAATCATTTCTTCTGTCTAGAATGCTGTTTTCACTGAGCTTTCCAGAATGCTTGCATAGGTGTGGGATTTTCTTTGTTTTATTCTTAACTGACTACTCTTGTCCTTTTCTAGGATGCGGTTGGACACATTGAAAGACATGCTGAGGATGACAGCAGGATTGATTCATGAAGCTTTTCACCTCCCACATTGGGAAGTAATTTTATACATCAGAATTATTCCAAATAACACCCATTTCTTACTCTAATCTTTCCTTTTTTTCTTTTCCAACTTGGAATGTAAAACGGGAGTGGGGCTCAAAGGCCTTGCTGCAGAGACTGCAGGTTGTATTGCACTCTGTAGAAATAAGGCTGGTCTATTAAGACTTGGCCCAAATGGAAGATTACTGCAAGTTTTTAATGCATTGACAGATAAGAATATTCCCCCCTCTTGTCTGCCTTGTTATTTTGAAGAAGCATATTCTGAGAGTCTTTTGCAAGTCCAGAGGGGTGCTGAGATTACAATGAGTGCTGGTGTTTGCAAACTCACTTTAAAACCTGTTAAGTGTCTAAGACGTGTCTGTTTTTATGTTGTATCCAATTTTTTAGCCAATTTTAATAAAATTCTGCAAATAGAATATCACAAATTATGAAAGTGTAACCTGAATATCCAGTGTACCTTTTGGCTTTCTTCATAAAAAGAAAAGGTATTTTATGGAGAGCTGGAATAAATTAATTTTTTTAATGTTACTCTTAATTTATGCCTATTTTTATTCCTTGTCTAAAAAGTGCTATAACTGGCACAATACGTACAGACTGCCCTCAAAAATTACACCTCCCGAGGTGTTTTTGGAGGAAGGCAGTCACTTCTTGAAGCGGTGTGCCAGTCGAAGCAAAGCAAGCATGACAGTGGCTACGCTAGCCCACTTGGTCACTTTTAGGCTCTTGAAATACTTTTGTACCTTTGTACAAAAAATGAGGGGCTGGTATCAGCTCTTTTGCTTTACAGTTAAATACCAGCAAAATCACTACTATCTTGATACAACATGAGTTGGATTCCTGATCTTATTTGGTAGCTCGTCTTGCCAAATTGTTTATCTTGTCATGGGATGGGATAGGGAATCTTAACCACTGACCTTGTAGTCCTGTATCTTTGTGGTGTAGCAAACTAACAGAGCTGTAATGGCATGAAATGTCTCAATGCATCCACTTTGGAGTTTTCTTTCTGTTGTGATGAAGCAGGAGTTCAAGCAGAAGCTGGGGTTACAAAATGCACATCGCATGGGAAAGAATGGTTTCTACAGATGCATATCATGTACCACAGAGAAGCTGCTGCAGAGGGCAAGATTGTTTCACCTGCCCAGGGCTCCTCTGCAGTTGCCCCTGGGGATGGCAAACCTCATTTGTCCACAAAGTGCAGTGAAACATGTTTTTTGCCTAACTTGCAGCTGAGAATGAAAAAAATCAGAGGTTCTTTTAAACTGTATCCAAAAGATAAAGATAATTCAGTCTCCAAACTGTGACTTGCTTATAAATTCACCTAGTGATTTCCAAGTAAGTAGAATGTACTCATTTCACTAGGTGTTGCATTCACTACTAGTTTGAGGCTCAGAGACGCCAGCCTCAGACAAAATATGTTTTATAGCCTTGTTCTTTGGTCACAAAGAAACCTTTTAAGGCCAAGGAGTGACTGAGGGGAGCCCATAGGGCTGCTTGGCCACTAACCAGGAGACTTCAGGGCCTTCTCTGAAGCTCTCTGTTTCTACATTGCCTCAACGGAGGAGTGTAACTTCTCTGCAGTTACTTGACATTCGTTTTCTTCTCAAGAGAGGTAGGGGTAAGCTAGGAATGAGGTTACAGTAGCATCCTATGTCAAACACATAGGAATCCTCATGGTTCCAAAGCCCGGCTGTGTTTTTTTATGTTTATTTGTTTTGTGGGAGTTTTCTTGTTAAACTCTTTGGGAGTAGGCACAAGAAAAGCAGTATGCGACTCAGACCTAATTTGAAGGATTTTTAGGCCTATAAATCATTTCCAGAACTATTGATATTTGAGAGTTTTTGAACCATAAAGAGGGAGCATGTAAAGGTGTGAAATAGTTCAAACTTTTCCAGCTATCCTTTGTAGCTGTGCTTGCAGTGAAGGTGTGGAGCTGTGTATTCCAAGGACAAGCATGTGGAGTGTCTGTATAACGCTGGAAGCTGGTGTGTGAGAGTAGATTTTTGTTATTTTTTCCTTGCTGTTCTCCGTGTTCCTTCAGCTGATGAGTGTATTCAGGAATGTGTAGAGGTCTTTCTCATTCAGTGTTGATAACAGATAAAGTTATTACACTTTATTTCCATTCCTGTTTGCTTACAGGGTTTATCTAGTCAGTAAAAGCAGGCTTCCCTTTCCAGTAGTCTGTTTCAAGGTATCCAAGATGTTTCCTTATCTGTCCTTGAAAACAATCCTCCCCCTTAAGGCTGGACTTCTGACATCCAGCTTCAGCAGCGCTGCCTTTGTGACTTGGCAGGTCATATCAGATGCATCTTAAAAAGAATCTTAGAATGAGTAAGAGTCAGGGGAATTGCAGAGCTGGACGAGTGTGTATAAAAATTGGCTGCTGTGCTGCTGCATTGTTCCTGAAGGCATCTCGAAAGCTGTGCTGCAGACGTGAAATACTCCAGACTTGGAGCTCCTGTTTGTTCAGCTGGAATTGCACGCAGCTTTCGTTAAGGGCCCTTCATCTGGAGGCAATTGCAGAAGAACAGCTGGCAAGTTAAGGCCTTGGCTTCGTAGCCATTAATCAGAGATCCTCACCAGTCCTGCCACTTTATTAGGGTTCTGCCTTCTGATATACCTCCAGTCAGGTAACAAGTGGAGTAACTTGGGGAATGGGAAGTTCTTCTAAATTTTGGAAAGAGTAGTATTTGTGGGGAAAGCAATACTGCACTTCTGAAGACTATATTCAAGCCTGGTTTTGTTTTTTGTGCAAGTAAAATGTTGTGAGTGGAAGAGTGACTACAAGTGTGGGGGGTTATTTTGCGTTTAGCTGAAGTTTGTGAGATTTTTATATTACTCAAATACTGAATACTGAGCTCTGAACTTAGTATATGGTTATATGGTTATATGGTTGATTACAATGGCAGTTGCATTGGCTGCAGGTCACCATTTTCCCCCTAGCAGTACTGACATGGTGTTTAACCACACTGTGACCTTCCCTAGTGCATATTGAGTGCTCAGAGCACTTAATAGCATTATGCTATGGAGTGGGCCATGAGTTACTCAAAATGGTTTTGTCCTTCTCTTCAAACATGTGAGAACCACCACCAAATTTCCCCACGTGCCTGGAATCACGGGGTAATGCCGACATAATCTTGGTCTAGATTCTTGCTTCTTTTTTTCTTCAAAACAGCGAAAAACAACAGCAGACTGACAGTGCAGTACTGCTGCCCCTCCCGATACACACTAGTGACTTGTGGTCAGCAAGGGGTATTTTAACATTTTGCTACAAAGCTGCCTGCCCCTTGTCTGTGTGTGGAAAGGGGCGGGAGGGGAAGCTGTCAAATCTGTTGGTACAAAGGTGCATTAAATACCCCAGCTTCTGTTTACCTGGTGTAACTTCTGTGTGGGTGGCAGCCTGTTTAAAAGATGCATGAGTTGACTACAAAATAGCAGGGGTTTGGTTCTGCAGTGCGTTTGCAGCAGTGCAGTTTTAAATGCACGTTTTCAGACTATACACTCTCTTACTGCTGGATCAAGATAAACAGTATTGGAAAACTCTTAACTTGCAATAAATGGTAACTTACCAAGGGCAAACATGTAGTTTTGAGAAAATATTGTTTCTGTTTTAATTGAAACCCAGGTACAGATGGATCCCAGTTCTCAGGATTTGTATGGTCCCTTGTCCAGAGTTGCAGAATATGTAAGGAAGGATAAGAAAACGGTTTTGGCTATTGTTTGTAAAATATTTACTAGTGACAGTGAAGAGCAAACTGTGTAGGTAATGTTTCGTTATATGCACCTGCCAGCTTCTCGGTTTCATTTTGCTGTAAGCATGAAAAGGTCTTTCTGAAGAATGAAAGTGGAATAAAACAGTGTGACTGAATATTTAAATAACTTAAGCTGTGTAGAACGTGTGCGCAGAGCGACCATGTTTTCCTCTTTCATTTTGCTACGAGGCTGCAAGCATAATAATGAAACTTTACACCGGAGGAAAAAAAGAAAGAAAAATAAAATAAAAAGTTCTGTATGTGGTTTGTCAGCCTGATTCTTCTTTGTTGTGAATAGAATAAGTGTTCAGTAAGGTTCTCCAGAACTTGACTGCATTCTGGGTTTTTGTGTTTTGAAGGGGGCTGGCAGAGCGGGCAGGACGTGGGAGGCTGTGGATCCCGCGCCTGTCTCCAGCGCCGCGCGCAGCCCTGCGAGCTCCCGCTTCCCCCAGGAGCAGCTCAGGACAACGTAGTGCAACAGGGAAGATGCAGGTTGTGCCTCCAGCTGCGCCTCCCGAGTGACACACGGTGACTTGCTGCCGGGAGCGAGATAGTGATTAAACCGCACAGGTAGATGCACTTTGTAGAAGATCCTCAGGTCATGGCTGGGAGTAGGAAGGCAGGGGGCAAAAAGTGTTTATCAAAAAAAAAAAAATCTTAAGCCAGCCTTGACTTGCACACAATTCCTCAAATTAATAACATGGAAATTGAGAAGACCTTGCACTAGTAAGACGTGATAATTGTACTTCTAAACCTAGCATTGATGAATCTAGTGTGACACGCATTTCACTAAGCTGTGAGAAAGCTGAGCTTTTAAATGATAGCCAGTGACTCTAGTTGGGAAATAGGTAAAATATATTTTGACGTTAAAGCCGACTGTTAACTTTCATCGTTTCATCCAAACTGCTTCCAACAAAATAGGACTCTGGCTTAAGAGATGTTCTATTTCTGGAATTGCAAATCAATTTCTCTATCTTACAGAAAAAGCAGTTACAGTTAAAAGAAAAACCCAATATGTAATTGAGATAGTATTGAGATATTAAGTGTCTGAGAGGTAATTTCTCAGTTCTGACACTTGCCTGGGGCACTAGCCGAAATTTTAAATATCTATGTGGAGAGCAGTTTCTTTGGCCTGACTTCCAAGTTTCTAGTGTATCAGAAAATCAACTCGCTCACATAGACACATCTGTAACAACATAAATGATTGGGATGCATAATTTTAATGTAGATTTATTACAACTTCACATGAAATGCTCAGCTGAAGTTGGGAAGAGGCTACAGTCATTGAACCAATATCAGAATAAGTTCCATACGGCTGATGATGAGGTGGTACTAAAAGCATTCACAGTTCAGACAGCTCCAGCCCTGCCTTTGTACCAGCCTTGCAGAAGGCTCCTAGTTTCCAGCCTCAGCAGAATAGTGGCACGTGCTCCGTGACTTTACCATGCAGAGAAAGTCTAACTTTGTCATAAGCAGGTTCTTGTTGCTCACCATACACCACCAGGAGATGATACAGAAGTCATTACAGAACAGGAGTGCTGGTCTCCTGCAGGAGTTGGGTTGTCTCTTGTCAAGATAATGCTCTTCAGCTCCATAAGTGAAGTCTGCGCCGGTGGAGGTTGGTATTTGCGTGTGGGGAGGAGCGGAGCTGCTCACACTGAGCGGGTACCTTGAGGTTGTCCTTACGTTACGCATACATCGTGAGCTGCAGCCACTGGAGGAGAGGTTGGAATTTAAGAGGAGTACAGAGCAGGAGAGCTAAGTCGACCTCCATTACAAGTTAGCACATTTAAAGTAGGTTAAATTAAATTGCCTCATGAAAGAACTCTCTAAATGTTTTTGAAAGACATTAACGATAATATGAAAAGACTGTTGTGTGCCTTCCAACTGTGCTGCATGGCAGCCATAGCTGGCAGAGCACACATATGTATATTTTCCAAGAAAAAAAATCAATAGCAACATTTTTGACAAGTTTTGTGAACTCATAGCAACAGAGTGACAATTTCAGGCCAGCTCTGATAGGCTTCCTCTAGAGCACATGAAATGAATAATAAGATCAAAACTTAGTACCATGACATTGTATTAGGAATACTGGAATAAGACTGTTTACCTCTAAGACATTGAGTTTAATGATTCCATCCCCATCTTTATCGAAGGCGTGGAATGCTCCTAAAGCAAGGAGAGACAAATACAGGGACTGAGTCCTTGTGCTTGCAAAGAGTAACCATGAGATCACAGAGCAAAGCAAATCATGCTCCCCATGCGCCATGCAGACTTGTGCAGATAGGTGTTTTCTTGGGTACCAAGTATTTCTGTTAGGCTTTTCTTTAGCTAATATTGAAGGAATGGCTTATTTAGGGAGAGGGAAGAGGGATATGGGGTTGTTTTGGTGTATCAATTACAAAACTGTATTTCCGAGAGAGCAGAAGGGCATCCAACCCAGGAGAGGCACTCACTGAACATGGCATCCAGGCGCACGAAGCAGCAGATGAAGCTGTCGAAGTCGATGTTCATGTTCTTGTCGGCGTAGCGCATCGTAATGATGTCGTAGAGCTGGTTGTTGAGGCGAAACCCTGCGGAGGGTGAGAGACGGGGCACGGCGGGGCCGCAGCTGAGGGAGGCGCCGGGAGGCCTCGCCTGCCCTCGCGCCGCCTGGCTGCTCACAGGAGCTGCCATGATGTGGGCACTGCTGGCTGGACGCGAGGTCATGCGTGGGCTCTAAGCCGCAGTGCTGAGGCTGGATTTAGGATTTTTCACTGAAAAATGTGTTCAGGGCAGGAGCTATTGAAATAAATTATTTTACCCTGACATTCCTGGTGAGAATGAAAGCCTGGAAAATACAAATTACACGTGTTTTCTTTTTTCCTGTTGCTAGAGTCCAAATGCAGACTAATGAAGAACAGTTACTTTTTGCGAAGTAAAACATAGCCTTCTGTTTGTACTCCTCAATGAGCTGTCACTGGTAACTGTTTCATGTACCAAGATACCAAAGAAGATGAAAGGACACTGAAAGCACCGCACACAAGTTTATAGCTCCTGATTTCCTGAATAACGAAACAGGAGATGATAAATTTGCTATGGGAAGCCTACCACCTATATAAGAAAGTGCACCAAAGTGTTTGAGAGAAGATTATACGATTAGTAAATGTACAATGCTTGTGCTCTGCATATTGAAAAAAGCCTCTGGTCCAGGTGGAAAAAAAAGTGGATTTTGGAATTTCTCTAGGGTCTTTCAAGGGCTGCATGACATTCCCATTTCTGCTCTGTAACAGTGACCAAAATGGCGTTTTGCCTTCATCTCCCCCCTCCTGCTTTCGCAACTCCTGGGCATGGCCCACGGGGGCGAGTACCTGCGTCATTGACTGCATTGCGCATCTCGTAGCTGTTAATCGTTCCAGAGTGATCTGTGTCATAGCGCTTGAAAATTTTCTGGAAAAACAACAAAAAAAAGTGTTGTCCATCAAAAGTAAGAACTGGGATACGCACCCTAGGCACTAGAAGGTTTTGTCATCTGCCTTGTATTCCTACTGGGACATCGAGGGTGTTAGCACAGGCCCAAAGTGTAATTACTGAATCTTATGCTATGACAGGCAAAGGGCTCTTTTGCTTAAAGACCCTCCTTGTTTGACTAGAGATTATGTTGTAAATCCCCTCTCTTGACTGTCATAATTAAGACATTTGAGAGGCCTGGATCTAGTTCCCATCCTTCTGTTCCTCAATCCCATGTGTATCCAATAAGTTCTGATGGGAGAAATCCTTACAGCAGTGTTGAGTTAGCACTGGAGAGAGATCTGGGTTGTTTGTTTAGACAGTGAGTAGGACGGGGAAAGTCATTACTGTTCTTTTTAAAAGACTATTTATAATTTTTAAAGTATTATCTTTGTTGTGTTATTATAGTGGGTGTGGGGAGGGTTTTTTTGTGGTTTGCTTTTTTGTTTTTTTTTTTTTGTTTTCCTACACAAGCTTTTGTACTGTGGAAGTTCTGAAGAGTAACACTGTGATGACTCTGCAATACCTGCCAGCTTTTAATCTTGTCCCAGAGGTGCCGAAACTCATCGAAGTTTATCTTCCCCGAGCCATCTGTCTGTGGTGCAAATGTTCAGGTAAAAAAATATATATATTTTAAAGGGATGAATGTGAAGCCTAGGTCAAGGCTTCTGCAGAATTAAGAGCTGGCTGAAGTGTGTAGTAAAACATTTGTGAACAACCCTGGCAATTTTGAATTGTGTTTGTTATGAGAGTGTGAAGCACCATTTTCTTGTGTAGAAGCAAGCCTGTGGTGAAGGAAAGATTTTTTTGATCCTCTAGTTACTGTAAAGTGCATGTGAGTAGGATGGTCCTTCCAAATGCCTCTAGGTATGAAGTTACCCCCCTGAAGCTTTAGCTGAGCTTTGTCCTACAAGGAAGCTCCTCCTAATTTGCTTAAAATGAAACCAAAAATAAGGAAAATATTGTCTAAAACTGTTTAAAAATGTGCTTAAACATTTAGGTTTTAGGTTGTAGTTCCAGTTTTGTTCTGATTGTGTTTGAATGTGCCCGCATGCTAATTTCAAAGTAGAATATATTATAGATTGTAAATGTAAGAGAGAAGTGCACAGAGTTTGTTGGCAAAAAAACCACCTGCATATATTTCAAATAGGCTTAAAAAAAAGACTTCTTATGCTCTAGTACGTAAGCTAGCCAGTAGATGATAACTAAGGGAGGGTGACATTAATGTACTTATTTTATAGTTCTCTCTTTTGAGATGTTTTCATTTGTCACCTATGTCAATGCTGAGATGACAAGTGTGTGTAGGAAAAGGAATGACATGAGGAATAATAAGGGTTGAGTGGTATCAAACACTCCCCTTTTGCTGGAAAAGGATACATCCATCAAAGCAATCATGCTGCGACAGGATTCCAGTTCAAATCCTTCTGTCTTTAGGTCCTTATCTGAAATAAACAATTGCAGCTGAGAAGAGATCATACAAGTCAGCAAGGGCCCTTTCCTCCTAGGTAGGGCTGTCCTCAAAGTAGAACTAAATATATTTCCTTCATCTTTCAAGAAATGAGTGGGAGATAAATCCAGAAAGGCTTTTAATTATTACTTGTGAATTAGAACTGAACTTTTTTGAAGTGTTATGTACAATTTTAGCCTGAAAGCTTCTTGAAAAGTTCGTGTTACCTTCTAGGTAGCTAAGCAAGCTCAGGGTCAATAGGCTGAGGGGAAAAAGTCTGCCTCTTCTTTGGATGATGATGATTATTATTATTATTACTTGTATTATCCTGCTTGATGCTTTCAACAAGCTTTTGCTCCTTTCTGCCTTATCAACTTCTCACTGAAGAGGCTATTATCACTTGTAGCCAGCATCTCTCTGAAAATACCAGTCTGCTAAAGCCTCAGATGAGGATTGCATGGAAGTGTAACTAAAACTTGTGAGCTTGAAGCCTTAAGTACTTTGAGTGCAACTTGTGAGAGGGGGCAAATACTCCGTGTCACAGATTTTTGTCCAGAGGTATTGAAAAACATGCTGAAACTCACGTTTTTTTACAACATTGTTGAGAACGTTCCTGAGTTCTTCAGCATTGATCTCCATGTCCTGGTGAGAAATGTGGGGAGAAGACCATTAGCTACACCATTCATTACTGAGCACATCCTTTAGTGGGTGAATATCCTAAAAGAATGAGGTCTTATCTAGTCACTTTTCAGTCTGGAATGTGCTTTAAACTAGAGGGAAGTCTGTATTCACAGAAATATTGGCTCAAATCTTTCCCTTGGCTGCAGCAGGTCTCTGGGGAGGCCTCTCCCTAGGAGTGAGAACACAGCTTGTTCTTTGTCCAGTCAATCATCCTGCTGCTAAACTGCTGACCAGAGAAGAAACAAAGCTAATCAGGCTTTCATTAGTCAATTAATGCATCTTCAGGCAATAAGATTAAAGTTGCCAAGCCTATTTTATGTGGTTTATTAAATTATAACTACAATAACCAGTAACTTCAAGCTACCATGTGAGCCAAATAGCCAAATGTGCAAATCTCTGTATCCTATTACCCTTACCCATCTCTTAAGTTATGACATTCTTAGATTTGCTTCTATATTTAACTTTCCTAATTAAGCATATACTGGAGATCATTTTATTTTTAACTTGTTTCTACGTGATGCAAAGTTGTTCAAGAAATCCTGTATGGCCTTATGTAGTCGTGAGGGAAGGAAAAAGCCAATTTAAATGCAGCTTCCTTGTACGCAGTGAAAAAGCAGTTCTGCTGCGATTCTTCAATTACATGTGTGTTGGAAGACAGCTGTGTATTTGACTAGATTTATTTTTTCATTTGATTTTGCTTAGTCTGAAATCTCAAAGGAAACGTGGTGAAGAACTTTAGTGTTTCAGTGCTATGAAGCAGCAGGGAGCTGCTGTGGCTGGGCTGGGTTGAGGGCACAGGCAGGGCTTGCCTGAGCACTCACCTCTCCTGCAATCTGTCGGAAAATATTCCTGAACTGGTTTTCCTCTTCGCTCGCCTCCCGAGCTTTTCCTGAAGCACGCTGAAAAACAAGGAAAAGATGCAATGTTAGCCCCAGGGAAAAGAAAAAGGAGTCCAAGGGGCCAGACAGCTCAATCACCCGAGCTCCAAAACTACCTTCTAGCAAAACCAGAGTTCTTTAGAGGAATGTGTCATTTTCCCGGTCTTTTCTCCTTGCTTTTTTTCCAGTAAATGGTTGAATGAATTTCTCGGTGAGACTGCTGAGTTTTTAACTTCATCCTATTGCTCTCATTTCTCTTGGAAAAGACCTAAATACTTGCTTTTACTTTGGGATATTTATGTTCTCATTTTGTGTTTCATAACATCATAAAGAATAAATTTAGAGCAGAAAAGAAAAATTTGGTCTGTGAATTGACCAGAAGGACTAGGGGAGTTGAGAGTGTCCCTTTCTTAAGACAATTAGCCCAGATTGCTTGACTTTCACCACTTTTCTCTTTGTAGGATACATGCAAAGAGCAAGCCTGTGCTCCAAGGCCCATACCTAAACTGTATGGGGAAAAAAAGACCTATATTAAGTTATAATTAACTACAGGAATTACTTGTAGCGGGGTGGGGGAAGTTATTCTTGGCTTAATTCTTATTTCTGTTTGTCTAAGTGCACTAGCAGGCAAAGGTACAGCTCCCGCTTCGCCACGCACATGCTCTGGCAGCCAAGCAGCAATGCAGGGACACGATGAACCACAGCTCCAAACACCATGGCTTGGCTTCAGAGAAACATTCCTTCTTTGGAGAAGGGATCTCTCATACTCTGGACCCTTATATAAACAAGGGCAACCTGGAGATGTTTTCAAGCAACTGCATCCTCCAGTCTTAAATACCTGAAGGGAGGGTCTCCTCTGCGCTCTAAAATGTTAACAGTTTTAGCTAGTCCAAGGACCAGCTAAAACTAATGCAAGTTATGTTAAGATTTGATGCAAAGCAGTTAAATATCTAAGGATGCTTCTTCGCGCCCTTGTGCTCTGCCATGCTAGCCAGACCATGCTGCTTTCTGCCTTGCCAGCTGCTGCAGAGACCTTTTTCTCATCTATGCGTTTTTTTTCACCGTCTTTGCCCAAGTCTTCATCCACTGTCAGCTCCTTATTGCTGTTGGCTATGTCAGAAACAAAGATGATAGGCTGGAAAAAGAGAGGAGAGAGCAAAAGAGAGGGAGAGATGAAAGTGGAAATTACACAAGAGGTTGTGTTTGGGCCTCCCGCTCTGCGGTCAAGTGCATGCTCAGCAGCTCCCACCCCAGCAGGCACCCAAGAGCTGCAGCTGGAATTGCAAAAAAGGCATCACTCAAACTATTCCTTTCTTCATACTAGAAAGAAAGCTGCAAAACACCTTGCACCATCTTGGACATCCAGTCTGCCTGTCCAAGAAGCAAGTGGCAAATGAAACTTCACTTTTTCTTTATTTTTGAACAAAAAGTTGCCCTTCTCACTGAAAGACAGTAGCACTTAAAGAGAAACAGAACCCAGAATATGAGTTTGCTATATTTCTAAAGGAGCTTGTTAACTCTGTAAAGCTTATGTTATTTCTTTATGTTGGTTCTTGAAGTGCTCAGCTGTGGGGAGCTGCATGCAATTAGTCTGCTTTAGTATATTCAAAGCAAGGAAAGTTGCACAAGACGTTAATATCTGCTCCTATAGTATTAATTAGAATCAGTCATTTTAATCTTGAGATTAAAATGCCTGATTGTATTTTCTGGATCCCTTCACGTGCTGATCTGCTTTAAGACCATGTCCTGATCTGTCCATGAAACATGGACAATGAGGGGTACCAGTGAAAGAGGAATCCAAAATGGAGCTGGCCACGTTGATCTTCAGAATATTTCCCTTGGGAGAAGTTTTTTCCCCTCCCTTTTCCCTTTTTCTCCCTTTTCTCCCCAAAGGAGAAAAGCCCTTGGGGGGGGCTTTTTGTGTCCTTCTCTCCAGCCAATAATTTCACTTGTGCACTCGGAGTAAGTTTGGGGATGGCTAAGTGGGTTGTATAAAGCAGAAAGGTTAACACTTTTCCCGGAGTGAGAGAAATTCTATAGCTATTTTAGGGGAAAAAGGCACTTTTTTTTTTTTTTTTTTTCTGCAAACAGTCTTCATGTGGTGTCCTTCATGAACTAGATCCATTTCCCAGTGCAGAGAAAATACGAATTACAGAGAGATCTCAGCTCCTGCTGCATGCATTGCACATGCTCTTTCATGCTCTTTTCTTTTCCAGGCTAGCACTCTGCACATTGCCCAAATACCCACCTTGCCCTTTTTCTTCTGTAGAAGAAAAAAGTGTTAAAAAGTATTTACAAACAGAACTGCAGATTTCAGCCAGATCATACAGAGTATGTATGTACATAGTAAAGTGCTATTTTTCTTTCTTGCATTTATTTTTCCTATTCATGTACATTCATATAGTTCTCAAATCTGAAAAATTGAGGGGAAAATACACCATAAAGAAATCCTATACTGAGAGATAGGCACAACAGAACCATATCAGAGTGCGCCCTATTTTGTCTGCACCACTGTCCACATAAAGCAAAAATCAGGATTTTATCTACCTCTGTTACTCTTCTTTCTCCCAGCAAGACAGGGTCACTTATTCAGGTGCCAATTAAATTCTAATTTGGGGAGTATGTTTTTTGTTTGTTTGTTTTGTTGTTACTGTGGCAGCAAATGGGAAAAAGACGGAAAGGAAGCACTTTCAGCAAGATTTAATGGTGTTTTGTCTTGTGCAAGAGCTTTCCCTCTGTGTGTGTGTGTGTGGCTTTTGTTTTCTTCAAGACTAATTATAGTGATATACTAATATGCTCATACAGGTATATTAAAACTCAGGCCAAAGTGTTAGAGTTTCTCATGGGTGCTAGTTAGCATCACATTATGATCTGGACCCATTTCCAGAAAATATATCCTTTAAAATAAGATACTTTGTTATTAGATGAGAGCTAAACCCTGGAGGCGAGGCCCTCTCCAGAATAAGAATACCCTTAACCAACCAAGGCAAGAGAAATGCTTATTTATGCTATTTGGTCTATCCAAATAATAAAGTAATGTACATATAGTCAAATGTTAGTAGAAGTGTTCTAATGAGAAAACATGGGTATTATTGATAATGGAAGTGTCATGTGGCTGCAGTGGCTTCTTGCTGGGGATTTTGGTAGATGTGACAGTCCTTCCCCTCTCTCCCACTATTCACATGCAGAAGAGGCACAAGACAGTACTCACCGATGGGCGCTGTGCTTCAATCGTGTTTTCAACTTCCCTAGAAGAAGGCAGAAAGCACAAATCAGAAAAGTGGCTTTTTTTTCCCCATTTGTTGTTTGTAAGCAGCCACTTGAACTTTCCAAACAGCCCATGGGTTTGGGTTGGCTTTCAAGCATTCCAGCTGCAAAATCTGGACATATCTGTTCCCTTTGAGCTGAGCATCCCAAGAATCACCTCCAGGAGAGTGGCTGCCTGGCTTGCATCCTTGCCTTGCCACCTCTGAGCATTCATAGCTGGGGGGAAAGGGGGGGGCTGTTGGCCCCTGAAAAGTAGGAAGCTAGCTGCCAATTCGTTGAGCTCTGGGAACCCACTAGAAGAGCAGGAGAGAAAAGAAATAATTATTTGTGTGTTTCCTTCACGACTGAAGTTGGATCTGGGTCAATGATTTGCCTGGCAAATGCTACACAGTGAGAAGCAGCAACCTTTCATGGTCATAAAAACTACAAGGGGCATGATTACGAAGGATATCCTGCACCGTATCCTTCTCCAGAGACGGTCCAAAGCCCACTCTTAGGCTCCGGGAAATGAATTTGCAGCTTGAGTTTCTAACACCATATGAGATAAAAGCACCGTGTGGAAAACTTGGGACCTGGCTACGGCCAACTAGTGAGCTCATTCCCTCCTTTTAGGGCAGATAAATGGATTTGGAACTTACTCAGAAAGACTTCTCTTCTCTGAGAAGACCCTCAGGATGAACTCTCCCTCCTGATGGGGTTCGTACGTTGATGGGATGATAACGTACTCGTTGGGTGGCAGCCGGAAGCGCTCAGAGATTTCTCGCATGTTTATGTATGTCTTGCTTCTAGCTTTGGAGGCATTGTAGAGGAAAAAATCCTTTTGCAAGTGGTGCTTGTCACCGTGCATCTGCAGAAGAGAGGGCTCGATCTGTCTGGGCAAAGCTTTACGCGTTCCTTAAGTGGTTCCTCATGCAGGCAGCACACAATCATGACAGAAAACACAAGTGAAACAGCAGCTTGGCATGCAGGGAGCAGACTGGGACAACCAGCTGAATACCAGTATGGAGTCCTTCATACTTAAGTTTTCTAGTGGTTTGGCTCAGTTGGCTTCTGAGGGCTGCATGAGGGCCCACCCAAAGTGCTGGCAGGTCCCTCGTGCTGTTGAGAGGTGGCTTTGCAGTGACCAGGCGGCACTGAGCGATCTGGGATTTCCTTGCAGATCCCTCTCCTGCCTGTAGGTTTTTCCTCAGGAAGGAGTTGAGATAGACTGTGCCCTGACAGGGCCTCAACAAGATGTATAATACAGTGAGGCCTTCACAGGCTCTCTCTCTCTTGTCAGCACAATAACAAAAAAACTTAAATCACATTTACTTTTAAGGCAATTCTCTTTTGCCATGTAGATGATTTAATCTGACTCTTTTAGCTCTATGTGACCAAAGTTCAGCTGAGCTTCCCTGTCTTTTGAGTGTGGTATGGCAGAGAGTGATATATGCAAACTCCTACAGACAACACGGAAAGGTGAAACTGTTTTCTATGGAAATTTTCCCTTGATTTGGTGGGGGGAGAGGAAGAAGTGAACTGTAGGTCAGCTTCAGATTGGTGATCATCATCAAATTTTGTTTCAGTTCAGATATGAAAATGGAGTTTGGCATTGTGGGCTACAAACATTTGCTAACTGTTTTATGCAGAAATAACCAGCTGTAAGACAGCCAGTAAAGATACCATTCAGGTATCCTTACATTTTTCAGGTAGTATAGCTTTGATGTGATATTGTTGCAAAACTTGGAACGTAACATCTAAGAGCTGACATTGTGTGCTGCGATCCAGGCTCACTACGTGAAGGTCATGCCCAGATTACATATAAAATAACAAAGAACTGAGGAAAAGGTGCAGGTGAAAGCAAGGTGTGAGTGACAGGGTATTCAAAGTAATTCACAAAATATTACTAATGAACACTCAAATTGGGAGGATTAACAATTTCATTTCTGTTGCATCCCTAAAACAACAAACTTGACTGGACAGTTTCCAGCTGACTTACAGACAGGCACAACAGTAACACTATCTGAGTATACAGCAAGATGCCAACTCTGCCTCCGTTCTGCTCGTACCTCTTTGGGCACCTTAGGGAGAAACAAACAAACAAAAAAAGAAAGTCAGGAGGGTTAGCTGGCTCCACTCATTTGGAAGATCACATAAAAGGCTGCTCACAGACCTCTGGGCATGTGGCCAGTCACTAGAACACACCCAGTTGTAGAAATATTCTATATAACTTCTCCCTTTCTTTACAGATTTCTCGAGTTCTACAGAAGATCTATTACGATTAGAGCTAGAAACATTTGCAAAGAATCAAGCAAACTGACTATACATGAGATTTGTCCTGAATGTGCCCTCATCTGTTCAATAATAGATAACTGCTGTCCAATTTTACATGATTCTGTGAAGGCAGTGTTTAATTTCAGAAAGAATGAATGGGTGACTGAAGAACATATTGGGCAGAATATGTTAAAAAGTGACATAATGTGTCTATAAAAGCCTGCTGCTTCCAGGTGGGATGAATCTTGAGATCACTATGGGCTAAGTGGCTACCAAACCTGGAATTTCTCTTCCAGGTTTACCCTTGAGTGCTTTGAAAAGCAAAAATTGAAGTCAGGTAGTCAGGCTGAATTGATTTGATCACTGGGAAAATGTGTACTGTTGGGGTCTGTGACCACAGGGAAGAGTCTGGGTAGTGCTGGTACCTCGTAGATGGCAAAGCCAATAGTGTACAGGTTGGCTCCCAGCTTGCGTTCTTTCCTCCTGTTTTTCTGCATCAGTGCCACAAGAAAGCTGCAGACAACCTCCTCATCCTCAGGATCATCATCTTCCTCCAAGAGCCTCAAGCGATACTGGGGATTGGTCCAAAATGTATCTGTGAAATCCCACCAACAGCCCCAGAGCAAATACGTAAAACTTCAGTTTTCTAATATTGCTCATTGTCAAGAGAACATTCAAT